TCAGAATCTCTTTATTAGTTATAAATACTTTTCCAAGGAAAATGAAATACATATTTAACCTTCTTATATTGCAATTGCAAAATTGTTCATAGGAATAGTCAATTGGTGAACATGTTGGCAGGATTTAGTATATTTCTTTCTTGAAATTAATATTTGTTTTATCAGAGGTACTAACCTTAGAGATGGTTAAATCATTATGTTTCTTCCATGAATAATTCTAGATAAAATACACAAACTCAAAATGATATGTACTTATAATAAACTGTTGTAGCAAAAGCCTTTAGAACAATAGCTTAAACAGTGTAGTGGTGCCTAGAACAAATTTTTTATAAAGAATAGAGATTTCATAAGAGCTTATGTTTAAAATGCAGCCTTTATTGCATAAATAAGACTGTAGTAATCACAGTTTTACAACAACAAAAAAAATAAGCTCCCAACAAGCCAAATGTTTTGAACTGTTGAGGTTGTATCTGTAGGATAATGATTTCTGTGACTTATAACCTTAGTTACTTCATCAATACTGGCTAAATAATCTGTTTAACTCTCCTTAACAGAGTCCCCTTTCAATACTTATTCTAAACTCTCTCTTCTCATCTCAAACCTCTTACCCAACTCACTAATTCCTATCTTCTTATGTTCTTGGAATAGACTTCTTACTTAAGGCAACTGAAATCGTCATGGACTCTCCCACAATAACATATTTGAAGCACTGTAGTTCTCATATCAAGCACTGCTTCTCCTACCTCCATAACTTAGGAGACATGTATAATAGACCCTCTAGCAGGGGTGCCCCACCTGCAGCCCATGGGCTGCATGTGGCCCAGGATAGCTATGAGTGCTGCCCAACAGAAAATTGTAAATTTACTTAAAAACTTTTTTTTTTGCTCATAAGTTTTTGTTAGTGTTTGTGTATTTAATGTGTGGCCTAAGACAACTCTCCTTTTTCCAGTGTGGCCCAGAGATGCCAAAAGGTTGGGCACCGTTCCATTTGAAATAAGTCACTTAACCTCTTTGAGTCACCTCTGAAATAGGAATCATAATGTTTGAACCACTTAGATCTGTTATATTGACCAAATAACATAATGTGTATACAAATTTTTATTTTAAGGAATTATAATTTTTGTCCATGTTGTTATTTGAGTTTCATTTTTAGTTAGATACTAAATGTCTGCCATGAATCATAAAATGTACTTTATTAGGAAACATTCCAGAATGTTAAATTGTAAGTTTTACGGGAACAAAACTCTCTGTGGTCAGAATGTTGGTCATGATTTCTTAATTTCATGATCATAAATTAAGTCCTATGTTTAGTCAATTCTTGAATATTGTACTCATAAGGGCCCATATATATGTCATTCCTCATTCCCTCCAGATGCATCAAGTAAATAATCTTTTCATTGTTATTTGTACAGTTTTAATTTACGAGTTGTTATTCAACTATCCAATAAACAGAATCAGTATTGCAGGAAGATAGTTCAATTTACAAATTCTTTTCATGGAACAAAGCCCTGGAACATGAATGAACATGTTCATTTAATGAACATGTTTGAACATCTGTTATCTTCAAGGTGCTGTACTCCTGAATGGTACACCAGGAGATACACCTGCTGCCTCGAAGGGGTGTAACTAAAGTGCAGCTCCCATCAGCCTGCCAAGTTGGAAGATGCCATACAGCTGCTCGAGCTGTGCCTTAGGATTGACTCCAGATTTCTCTCTCTTCCCAGTTGCAAAGTCAGACAACTTTAGGAGCCACATAGTTCACAGGTATTTACTTTCTTCTTTAAGGACTTTAACATTTGTCTCTCTATAACTTGACTTCTGCCTATTTCACAAGCTTAGATCATATCCCTGCAATTTTATGTTATGTTCAAGTTATGGCAAACACATTGCAGCTCCACAAATGCACCTATGACTTTGTTCATATATATTATAGTTTTCTCTCACCAGAATGTCCGTTCCTCTATTTCTTTCCCAGCTAATATTATCTGACTTTTTCTACTCACCAAATGTTATACTTCTAAAATCTACCTGAATACAATGCACAAACTTCAATCGCAATGCTTACCATTTGTATAATGGAGAAATTATATCTGTTTGTAGATTTGTCTCCACCAGTATACTCACTACAGGAATATCTCAGTAGTAAGGGTAGTATCAGGATCATTTTGGCATGCCCAGAAGTGATATTAATTTAATATAGACCAGTGATTAAGTAAATAGTAAATCAAATTTAATATAATCTCAATAACAGTTAACTTATAATACTGGTTGCATATTTAATAAGCAAAATTATTTTCAGTTTAGTAGACTAAACTCAGAATTTTTGACAGCACATAGTTTTTACTGATGGTGGATTTGAAACCTATCCTGGAATTTTTATGCAACTTTTAAGCTAAATTTTTATCTGTTTTTTATTTTTTGATTGGGGCAACATATATTAAGTTGCAATGGGTAGATAAAGTGTCTTTCTAATCCTGGCTCACTTCCCCCACTGACACTGAGTTTAACAAAATACTAGAGAGAGTGTGAGCTTGTGTCAGTCTCCATTGCTCCAGGGCTCTGGCAGAATGATGAGCGGTTGCTTGAAAAAAGGGCCTCGGTATTACCTGCATTCCTGGACTTCTATGCAGTGTCCTTTCTGTTACTTAATCTCTTTTCTTCTGTTTTAATCAAAACTTTCCATTGGAAAAAAAAAAGTGTCGATTTGAATGATGAAAGGCAATTTTATCCTAAAGCTATCTTTCTATGAAGTTTTGACTTAGGAAGGCCCAATCCAGCCCTGCCTGTCTCTTCCCCAGCCCTGGGTCCACTCTCCATGTCAGCTGAGAGGTTTATAGTGTGCACAGAGCAGCTTCTGCCTGCCTGGGACTGGTGAGCAGCTTCTGCCTGCCTGGGACTGGCTCAGAATAATGAAATCTGCACAGTTGAAATTCGGCTATTGGTGGTAGTTACTATGCAACTCTTAACGTTTCCCTTTTGTTTCTGTTAATAATATAAAATACCCGGTTTTTCTTTCAGAGTGAACTCTTCAAATACACTAAAATTTGTTCTAGTAGTATTTTTAATGAACAAGTTAAATTGTTTCTTAATGCTCAGATTATATGCTTTTCTAAAGGATGAGAAACTTTAGTGGTTGTGCAATAGCATTGCTCAAACTTTCTATGTGAACAGCTGCACGGAGCTAAAAGTACAAGGCCTATCTGTGGGCCTTAGATTTTTGCCTTTAAGCAGATTGCTCACCATGCCTTGATTAAAATAGCAAATGTAACAAGAAACACAGCAGAAATGATGGTAAGAGGCAGCATATTCTGATGGTAGGTTGATTCAGAGCAATTAGGAGATGCTTCATGAGATGTCTTAGACAAATGGGGAAAATTTTTCTTCCCACCCTCCCTAATATCTGAAATTCAAATGTTAGAAGAGACTCACACCTCACCTGAATTCAAACAATGGCTCTATACTAAAGTGTTCCTCTCTGTATCAAGCAGAAATATCTTGAACTTCATCAGCCACAGTGCCCCTGAATTATTGAACTACAGGTGTGATGGAGGGAGTGAATGTGTCTGACACTTTCTGAGAGCCTCTTAACAGAGGAACGGAACACAATGAAGGCCATTATCTGAAGGACAGAAGGTAGGGATGTGGTACTGCCAGAGGAAGGGAGATGATTTGAAGAGGAGATCAGGGCAGCTACGATCACATCTAAGTCACTCTTTGCCCACAGGGGAACAACAATGACCACAACAAAAACAATACACAGCCACAGAGAGGTAACTGTAGACCTTGCATTCAGACGCTAACAAACTTTCAAATTAACAGTGAAAATAAGCTCAGTAGTTCAAGATAGATTTTTAGATTGGGAAAACTCTCGAAATGGAAATTAATTTGGTGCTGAATCTCTAAGAAATACCAGGTCAATATACAAATATACCAAGGACCTCAAAGTGATGTATTTTTTTAAACTAAGTAATACCATTTCTAGTAGCTTATCCAAGAAATATATACATACAAAGACAGGCACAACATATATACACAAGGCAATATTCTAAAGCCGTTAAAATAATGTCTTAATATCCAATATTATGTCATAATGCTATGCAAAAAAATACAGGTTCCTAAAACCCTTTATACAATAAGTACCAAAGTCTATAAAATTTGTGTTTCTTTTATTTCTCTCTTTTCATTAGTGCATGGAAGAGAGATGAAAATAAATTACCAAATGTTAACAGCAGTCATATTTTGATGTTGAGCCATTGGATGATCAACATTTTTCCCTCAGTATACTCTTTTGATATTTATGACCATGAAAATATCTTTTTTATCCAGAATAATATTGTTATTTTCCTGTAGTAGAATTCCCAGTGCACTTCAAACATACATCATAGGCAGCGTAAGTTGAGACTAACACTGTCCAGAGAATTATATTTGCACATTGCTTTGCAGTTTTATGTGCATACGTGCATGCATGCATATGTGTTACCTTAATTCTATAAGATATGTGTGAATTTTATAAGAAGCTTGAGGTAGGTGTTGTTATCATCATCCCATTTTCATAGAAAGGAGACTGAGGGCCAGAGAGATTACAATGTTCTAGCTTGTACAACTTAACCTGGTACTTGTTTTATAAGTTTTGTGTTTTCTGTGCCAGCTTCTCACAACATGTAGAGACTACGGATGTATTTTCTAAATTTGTAGGCCAGTTTCTGTAAGGTTACTGAAGAACAAGAGTGATGGTTCAGTTTGATGAGTATGCAAATATGCACATGGACTTCAAAGCCTCAGTTGGTACTTTTCTACCATTATAGGAGCAGTAGGACGAACAGCTGTCCAGAAGTGCTTCCTAAACAGGCTGCGACCACACAAACACTTCTCCTGAATGCGGAACATTCTCCCGATGTTGACACTGAAACTTCTTGGAAATTTCCCAACACCGTTATGAAACTTACCCCAATCTCATGAGTAAGGTTTGAGGCTCATATTTCATGTTTCAATCTATAAAGAGAAGTCGGGGGAGATAAATAGCTGGGAAACCACGTCTCACACTGTGTGGGACGTCTCAGCTCCTGCAGTCACCAACATGGCTTTGGTCCTGCTTTCTGTCCTCTGGCTCATTGTGCACACTGAAGGTAAGCACTCATATTGACGTTTTATACAAAAGTCAATTTACTTAATGCATTTTTAAAGTACTTTTAAGAAAATGGCATGCTCATGTGACCCAAAGGTCACTACTGTTTGCATTTTGGTATATTTACTCAATTTATATAAACCGTGCTCGTCATCTAGGTGTTATGATTGGCAAAATAATTTAGGTAGGATGTCTCTGAAATTTTCTCTCTCATTCAATAATTGTACAATTTCTATCATTTTGTTTTCTAAAACACATTGCCCCAAATGATAGCAGAAAAGTAACTTCAGACAAGAATTCCAGAATTTCCTAACCATCTTCAATGTTATCTCGAATGACATTGACATTTCTACCCCATAAAAAACCTATCATTTATCTAAAGCTACAGTTTATCCAAATGCTACACTGGGGTGGATGACAAGGAAGGCTCTGATGTAAAATTAGAGTTAAGTGAAACATAATTGCATTTTTGAGCAACATTAGAGATTAATTCACCAACTGATCAGTTGGTACTAGATACTAAAATTCACTCTACTTTCAATTCCACAACCCTTTCCACGAATGGAATTTATATTCTCTTTTGATACAGACATTTTAGTAATATATTTTTAAATTCCTTTTTTTATATGTAATGAGTTCTTCTAAGGACAGCATCACAGCAGAACTTTGGGCGTTGACTAGCAGAGATGTTATGAATTACTTCTTCCCTTCAGTTTGTCTGTCTGCATCAACCAGGTATAGAACTGCCTGGTGTCTCTAAGGTCACACTGATTGTCAGTCACAGAGTGAGAATCTACCTCTAAGCATAGACACTTGTCTGTGAAAATGAGAACATTTAAAAATAAAACTAACCTTATATTGATGATTGAAGAAATAAAGAAAAAAATGGATAAAGGTGTGCTTGCCAACTTCCTAGACTGTATCTAAATAATTTTGTGTATCTAAATAATTTTAGATACACTATGCTACTTAATTTTTACACCAACCTCTACTTTAGGTAAGTAAACTGATAGAAATCAAAGTGACTTTTACAAGGTTATTTAGCTAGGATGTAAGACCACGTATTTTGGCTCCAATATCAGTTATCTTCCTACTGTATGCAAGCACAATAGAAAATTGTCTGTGTAATGTAATTCCAAGTGAATCAAGAAGAACATTTAGTCTACATACAATTTTTCTTCTGGCTCTCTGGTGCTTTAAAATTATTCCACCAGAGAATAACAAGAACTTTATTTCCTGTGAAATCTAAAGTCTTGAAGGCAAATGCTAATGAGGGAAATAATATAATGGCTAATTGTTGCATTGACAAATAAAATAACTGTTAGTAGAGTCTTTCCTAAAATTGAAGGAGTATCTGTCTAAGAAGTATTTGATTTTTGGAGGGGGTAGTCTGGTGTTGCACCACAGTGAGCAAAAGACATAAAAAAACAGAAGAGTTCTCTGAGAACACTAAAAGAAAAATTCATAATTTTGGATAGGAAAATAGAGGAGGGAGAATCTGGATACTACAGGTAGAATTCCCAGCTTGATTCTAATCCCAAATCTGCTTTTTCTGGGCCTCATGGCCCACATTGAGAGATTTACACACATTGAGAGATTATCCAATGAACTGTTTCCAGAATCGGGGTGGGCAAAGTGAGAGGGAAAGAAAAGTTCTTAGTTATCGAGTTTCAAGTAGATGGAGGAACTCCTTTTGAATGCTTACTTTCTCAACTGGAATTCAGTCTTCCGTGCTATTTAACACAACAACTGAGCAAAAAAAAGAAACCAACACAAAATCCTTTCAATGTTTTTTTATCACTGTTATCTCTCTTTCTCTAGCATTAGCCATAAGGCAAACACCTGAAATAGAACTCTATAAAGTAGTCCATCCTAAAAAACTACACATTTTACACAAAAGAGCGGTACAGAATAACTGGACTGAGACCCATGGTAATGAGGTAAGCAGTGTGAATGACTGTGGGGTTTCTCTATCATCTGATGAGACAACAAAGAGCCTTTTTCTTAATAAAATTGATGTCATTAGTCAACATCTCATGGTTTGTTATTGAAGCCCTCATGTATACCTCCCCTTTGTCCAGGAGAGAATTCGGGGTTTCTCAGAATGCTTTCACAATTAAGTAGCAGCAAGGAAGTTAAGTGTCTCACATGATCAGAAAGAATAAAACTGCTCAGGCATTTCTCCTAGTTTCTGGGAGGGAAAAAAGGTGCCCAGGAAAGGCAGCTATTTTTTAATATGTTCCTTGTTGAGCCCCCCAAACTCATGCCCCCTACCTTTACCCTCTTTCCCCACTGAATTGCTTTTTTCCCTGACTATTTTCTCTGTAATGGAGAGATCGAAATTATCTCATTAATTAACATGATTTTTAAGGTTTATTAAGGATATTAACTCTTTGACTATTTCATTATTGCAAATATTTCCTTTATCATTTTTACTTTATTTAATTCTTAGTAGGTTTTTGGTTGATTTTCTTTAGTATATTTAGTTTGATTTTAATGTAATAAAAGCATGTGCCATATTATTAACCTATTAGTGATCCTTTAGGATACACAGGACTGTGTACTGTATATAGGGCAAATAATTATTCCCTATCTCACATAACTGAGTTAGTTTAATCTGTATTATTATTGTGTTGTTGTACTTTTTGGAAATCCACTTAAATATACAATTTATATTTAATTTTACATGTTATAAAGGCATAAGAGTGCTACTTTTATCTTAACATGCATTTGCAATTCCCAAAATATAAATTGATATTATTATATCATTAAATTTTTAAAAAATATTTTTTGTTGTTCTATTACAGTTGCTCCAATTTTTCCCCCTTTGCCCTCCTCTGCCCAGCCCAGCCCCCACTCCCACAGTCAGTTCCCACACCATTGTCCATGCCCATGAGTCTTCCATACTTGTTCTTTGACCAATCCCTTCCCCTTCTTTCCACCGTTACCTGCCCTCCACCCCCTGGTTGCTGTCAGACTGTCCTATGTTTCCATGCTTCTGGTTCTATTGTGCTCCTTAGTTTGTTTTTGTTCATTAGGTTCCTCTTATAGGTGAGATAATATGGTATTTGTTTAATCAACTGGCTTATTTCACTTAGCATAATACTCTCTAAATTTTTTAGGAAAGATATGAACCTGAACTTCAGTATCAGATTATTTTAAATGGAGAAGTCATTCTCTCCCTACAAAAAACCAAGTAAGTTGTACTTTCTGAAATTTAAGTCACTGGATTGTATTAAGAGAATGTGGCAAAATAAATCTTGAGACTCTGTTTAGTGAGATTGGAGATAAAGGACATAAAATATATTGAGTTTTATATGTTTCAGATACATTTGTGCTAATGCTACCTCAGAAATGTCAATATTTCCTAGGAGAGATTACGTACAAAGTGTAAAACAAAGAGAGCTGCACAAATAAATGACTTTCTTCCTTGATGCTTCTTGGAATTTACTGAAACACTTTTCTACCCAGATAAACTTAAACCTTTGATGTGACCTTCCATTACCTTTGTAAGAACATACATCCTAGGCTTCTTCAGGGGTGCTGCTCCAGCAAGCTCTGCAGCAGCCAGGAACATTCCTTTATGCACATTTGTGGCCCAGCACAGAGGCCCTGGGAAGGAGGCATCCTTTGTGCAAAGAATCTCCAAATAACCCATTCTGAACGTGGAGAACATGCGGTTAAAGGGTAGCTGAAGGCATTTCCTCCCTCAGATCCAGCAGGTATAGCTAAGGCTTTGATTTGCTTCAGGAGCAGAGCTTCAGCGCTGGGAAAAGATCAGTGGGTCAGAATGCCAATGCCTTCTCGTCGTAGACAGTGTCATTCCTTTAGTGCTGGAGCTCAAGGCAGGAAAATTAACCTTTATTAGCACAGTGGGTGAATCCTGCAACTTTCTGCTCACTGCAGGCATCTCCTGGGGCCGAACTACACCGAAACGTATTACTCTCTTGAGGGAGAGGAGATCACCACAAGCCCTCAGAATGCGGTAGGTTCTGAATGCATCCTGGGACTCTCTAGAGACCCACCATTTAGTTATAAGATTCCTGAATCTAAGGACAACTTAAAAGATTTGAAGAACTTGAAAGCCACATACATGCTTATCTATTCAACGAGATAAGGTAAAAAAAGCATACTCAGCATTTTTAAAAGATAGGAGTACCAGGAGGCTTCCAAGTGTTACATTTTGTGAAGCCATCAAAAAGCTACTTTTCTCCTAGATCACCTTATCAATAGGTTAGAAATAACCTATTTATTATATTCTGATAATACATGCACTTGTCCTGAGGTCAGCAACAGAATATAAATTATTTAATTAATATAATTTTATATATGGTTAAAACACCACCCAACAGATAATGCCAAGGCCTAGATGGCAGACAGAGAATCAAAGCCAAAGGAATATAAAAAGAATATAAAAAGGCATAGTCATGGAGTATTATCAAACTCAGTGAGTTTCTCAGAGCCACCCCCACCCACCGTGGCACCCTAAAAGTGTATGTTTCTAGAAAAGTACAGATAAGACTTCTGACACAAAGGGTTCTTTGCTTCCTAATCACATGAAAACTCTCATCTCATAGATATCCAGAATTTTGCTAACATTGACCTCCAAGGAAATCATCTAATAAATTAATTCATACTCAAGTGCAGTGGCTGATACTTTAATGTGGTACCTTTTCCAAGTCTTCTATGAGAAAATGTTACAATAGCAAGGTTTCTTCCAAAGGAAAGAAAACCAAATGGAATTTCATTCAACCCTGAGACAAGTCAGTTTATTTTGAACAAGAGGTTATTCATTAGCTTTCTTAGATTATTCTATATAAGCAATCCCCTATTTTACTTATATGGATCATCAAACATGTCTGAATGTTTAGCCTTAGACAAATTCTCTGGAATTTTGATAATGGTCAAGAAATTCCACTAACACACCATTTAATATGGTAAGTTGGACCAATTAATATGAGGGGCTTAGGAGAGGTTGTGCAGCCTCCTTAGGACTGTAGACTCTAGCAAAATGCATACTCCCTTTTATTGATGTAGTATGCACAGTGTCTTAGGGACTCAGCAAAAGGAACCAAATTCTCACAAGTTGTACCTCATCTCTGAGAGTTCCCTAGATCGCAGCGGAGCTAGCTACTTCTCAGATGCCGCGTTCGTCCACTTTCACCATAAGTGTGCTTAGGTTCAGCCTCCCTGGACTTCTGTTTAGTGCCATTAGTGTCAGGAAGACAGCTCTGTCATCCAGCATGGAGAGTGTGCAGGGTCAGTGGTGGGACAGTTCATACAGCCCCAGAGGTTCTCACTGGTTTTGTTTCTGGGAAGTGGTCTGGCCACAGCCACTACTCAAAGACCTGTCCTACATATTCAAGATAGCAGTTTCCACCACAACTGTGATACATTTATTCTTGCAGTTAATATTCTTTTTTCCAACCTTAGGAACACTGCTACTACAAAGGACACATCCTGAATGAAAAGGATTCAGTGGCCAGCATTAGTACTTGCAATGGGTTGAGGTGAGATCTGTTCCCCAAAATACTAAACATCAAGCATCATTTTGTTACACAGAATGAGTCTTCAGGACATCGTGTCTTATACTATCTTGGTTAAATTCTCTCCATCTATAAAATGCTGAATATGTGTGGTTAAAGTGAACAATAAAAGATCACCCTTGCAATCATTTTATAATCTGCTGATCTAGTAGAAGTTAGTCCTGGAAATATTCAAACAAGACTCTACACTCTGGGCCTTGATGACATTTGGATCCATTTCCACATTTATCCATCCTACTCCCTAAAAACTTCTGTCTTATTTTCTTAAAGATTCTACCCTGAAATTGTCATGGTGAAACATACTTTAAAAAACTGTATGTGTGTGGTTTTTCTCCTTAAAAAGGTAATTTTTATCAATTGGGAAAAATTTGAAAAATAAGAAAAATGCAAGTAAGAAAATAAGAAAGTACCCACCATAAAGTTTTTCCTCTGTGTGATTACTATTATTAACATTTTGTCATGTTTGCATCTTTTATGCATATAGACAAATATATCTTTTATGTGGATGAAATTAAAATAAAATAGACATAATTGTTCTTCCAACATGGTCCATACCATGTGACATAAAAAGCTTTTTTTCTCTTATTATGAAATACCTTCATAGACAAACTTTTGAATTGCTATGTATGCTTTTAATATTCCATCATATGGACTTGACTTTAAATTTCTGAATGAGTTTTATTATGATAAGGTAGAATTTTTCAAACTTCTTCAAACTATCAGTTCCAGACTCTTCCTCTGGATAATCTGCTCAGCGTTTTTGCCTTTTCTGGGGTTCTTGGGATCTAGATGCTCCTTTATTCCATTCTCCATCATTTTCCTAAGACCTGCCAAGAAGTATATGCTAAATGTATGAATAAATGATGGCAAGTTTTATTGAGCTCACGATGTCAATCCCGAAGTCTTTGGGGTAGCTTCATTTAGTCATTCTCGTTCACAACTCTCTGGGAAATATTACAGGCTCCATTTTAGTATTGACAAATGCTGATTATCACTTACATTAGCAAAAGTTAGCCAAAAGCCTATGAAAAAATACTGTATGTGTAAGCTTGGGGTAGAGGGAAAGGTGTCAATCCATTCTGGTCAGTACATGTGACTTTGTGACAGACAATCCTCAAATATGAGTCCCCATGTCTCACAGGGGATACTTTACACATCAGAATCAAAGGTACATGATAAAGCCTCTGAAAAGCACAGACCAAGAAGAACATGCTGTCCTCACATACAACCAGGAGGAGCTGGACCCGGCTAATCTCACCTGTGGTGTAAAAAATGTTGGCAGAAAACACAGCATCATCCGCACCACTAGGTCACTCAACAGCCCAGAGGTGAGTGTGGCTTTCCTGTGTCATTGTTCATTTCAGTCATCTCAGCAACGACAATGCAATAGACTGTCGTGCTCAGCAGTGACTGTGATAGGGAAAGCCTATACCTTATTTATTTATTCACTGATTTAATTTTTCTCTGAAGAAAACAATTGTCTTTGTAAGCTTCTCACACTTTTAGCATAAAGGTAATTATTAACAGTGTTCTTTTACTCTTTGTAAAGCGAGAAGAATTTCTTCGGGCTGCAAAACATATTGATCTCTTTTTGGTGCTGGATAATGCCTTTGTGAGTAATGCCTTTGAAACGTGTGTGCTCCTTGTCAAGTTAAGTCAACGTTTAAGATTTCTTATCAGCAAACACAAACAACAAACCATTCTGGCTGAAAATGCAGAGCCCGTCCCCCTGACTGCCTGACCTGTTGTACCCATCTGGCCAGCAACGGTGTTCCCTTACCCCTTTGATGTCCACCTGCTGCCAAAATATTTAGTTATTAGAATACATGAAATTAATGAAAAACAAAAATGAATGGGTTATTAAAGCATTGTTTAATTCTCACTATATTATGTAAATATAAAGTAGACTCAAATGCTATACATTTTACATTATAGTTATATATACAAAAACACTGGAATCAGTGCTTCTAATTAATAAAAATTGCTTTATAATCAAATTTTAATAATATTGAAGTGGTTTAAAACATTTAAATCATTAGTTGATTTATTCAATATAAAAATCAAAAAATGAAAATTTATATGAATGTCTAATTTTTCTCTTACCAAAAAAATCTTACATTTGAAATATAATTTGTTGAAACATGAAATTTTATATAAGGTAGACATGGAATGAATAGAGATTTATATACATTAAAATGTATGATTCTGCTTAAAATGTGAACTACATCAACTTTCTCACTGTAGTTTGGGATCTTAATTATACTTTGCATTTTGTATTTCACAGTACAACATGTATCAGGGAAATCTGACTTTGATGAGAAGCTTCTTGTTTGAAGTGATGAATCTACTCAATGTGGTAAGAGATAGCCTCAAGCTTTCCTATGGTTTCACCAAATAAGGAGTCGGGAGGGTTGCATGGTTTAAGGTCAGCAGCAGTTTTGAGAAATTTAGCAAACAAGGATAAATATTAAGGTAAAATCATATGAACTATATAGCAAAGGCAACTTCTAGAATTCCTGTTTTCAAAATGGGATACACTTATCCATCACTTGTGGTCAGCAAAGGATCTAAAACACTAAAGAAATCTTAAAAAATTTTATGAAGAAAAATGCTCTTCCCACAGATTTATAACACCATAGATGTTCAAGTGGCCTTGGTAGGTATGGAGATCTGGTCTGACGGTGATAAGATAAAGATAGAACCCAACGCAGGTGTCACCTTTACCAACTTTCTGAATTGGCATCGTTCCAACCTGGGGAAAATGAAGCCACATGATCATGCTCAGCTACTCAGGTAAGCCACACTAGCCAGGGCCAGGTGTAGGCAGGCAGAGCAGATAGTTATCCCAAAGGTTTCTTGGAAGATATTACTGTTCAGTGATGTGTCCCTGATTGGTTGTCAGAGAGGCTGTAGCCCTGCCATTAGCAATTCACCTGTGCAGTTATTGAGGACCGATGTCAGATTACCAAAACAGGTTCTCGGCTGTGGGACAACCACCAACAGTCATTATAGTGCTATGGAATGGCATACACTTTTCAGGGACCTAGTGAATATAAATAGGGTAGGACAACAAGGAAAATCAAAAACATGATTCACAGAGGCAAATTATTCCAAAGATTCAGATTGTGACAATGTACCTTTAACTTTCTCACAGTGGACGTGCCTTTGCCCATAAACGTGCAGGAGTGGCAGCCGCAAATTCCCTGTGTTCCCCATCTTCAGTTGCTGTTATTGAGGTTTGAAAACTTAAAGCAAATCTTCTCTGTGGTTCCATATTCTCTATGAAGACCAGCATAATGCCTTATACACAGTTAGTAAAATGAGCATTTGCTGAGTCAGTAAATAAAAGTAGAAAGAAAACTATGACATTGAAGGTTCTTTGGATTACAGAATTGAATATTTCCTTACCTCGGCTCTCCCAGAAGGCTTAACTCTTCAGCTGGCATTAGGGAATAAGAGCAGAGAGATTGGGAGAGAAAGGGGATCCAGGTGTCCTCAGTGGCCTGAGCCAACTTCAAATTAATCATCCTCAACATCAATGGCCAGAGAGATCAGACAAGGTGCATGCTGGTGTGATGTGGCCAAGCACTACTGATGTCAATAGTTTGGGGCAGCCTTTGAGTACATAGTATGGTACCTTTTGGGACTTCTTATGAAGAATGTATTTACTTGAATATAATCATGGTTTACTGAGAAAGTATTATTAGTTCAGCAAATGTTTACTAAACTCTGACTCAATGGTTGATTCATAGTAACCAATAATTCCAAGTGTTTATTCAACATTTTATAATAATGAATGGCAGGCAAAGGAACTTCATGACTATTATTTTTTACTTGTCAAACTATTATTTTACTTCTGAATATTGACAACAATTAAGAATTAACTGAATAAAAAGAAGAAGTAATAGACATTTCTATTTTTTCAAGGCTAACAGAAAGAATAATGTGGCTCTTGTAGCAGTGATGTCACATGAGTTGGGTCATGCCCTCGGTATGCCTGATGTTCCATACACCACCAGGTGTCCCTCTGGGAGCTGTGTGATGAATGAGTATCTAAGGTGAGACCTTGTCAATTGTAGGTTCAGTCCCCACGCAGGGCACATACCTAGGTTGTGGTTTCGACTGCCTCCAAGGGCAAGTACGAGAGGCAACTGATTGATGTTTCTCTCTCACATCAATGTTCTCCCTCCTTCTCTCACTGTCTTTCTCTTTCTCCTCCTTCCTCTATCTCTAAAAAATCAATAAACATGTCCTCAGGTGAGGATCAAAAAAAAAAAAAAAAGAAATCAGATGTAGTCTCTATAGCTGGATGGGCATTTTTTATCAAGAGTTGTGTATCCCATTAATTCACCCTCCAGCCTCTTGATGCATAAGTTTTACCAAGTATTATGGACCTAATTAAGATGATGACAGCTATCCCCGTCACCAATCAATCAATCCATTTTTCTGTGCTGTATGATTGATCACAATGCCATCCTTCATATATAACACATCATAGGCCTAAACAGTTAGGAAATTTGGAATTTCCATGGAACCAGGTAATATTTTTAGACAAGTCATACTCTCACATTCATTTATCACAGTATATCATGGTATTTTTTATTTTTCTTCTGGTTACAGTTCAAAATTCCCGAAGGATTTCAGTGTATCCTCCCGCTCACATTTTGAAAGATACATTTCATCTGCAAAATCGAAGTGCCTGCTGCAAGCCCCAACTGCTAAAGATGTACCCACAGTCCCAGTGTGTGGGAACCAGCTTCTGGAAGCGGGGGAGGAATGCGACTGTGGCTCTTCTAAGGTATGGAAATGTCCACGGTTAGAAACCTTACTATGCAATGACTGCAGCATCACTGCTTTGTTTCTTTTTCCTTTTGTAACAGAATGCTTTTAAAAAATTTCTAAAGACAAGCTTGGCATCATTGTAAAAAGTAGACTTGCACTTATGTCAGTACTGATTTCAGGCATTTTTTTGAAAGGCGTTTCAAAAGCCAGGATATAGTTTTGATGTCGTCATGTGAAGTTCACTGTAAAGAAAGAAATCATTAATTGTAATATGTCACATGAGCTTTCCTGATACATTAGTCAGAAACCCTCTGCCCCATAAAATCACAACTGGTCATCAGTTGAACAGTCACAAGTACAGGTCTAGAAGTCCACTCCACAGAGAGTTAGCTGACTTTCTCTCAACCAGCTAGTATGTAAACCAAACATTAAATACAACGGAGAAAGAGAAGCAAGGACATAAACCTCTAGAAAATGGGTTATTAATATTGAAAATCCAAGATAATGACTATAAGTCTGCTGATATCTATAAAATCTGAGGCTTTCTAGGAGTCTCCAATGGAATGTTTGCTAGCAATCCCATATTAGGTTTTTAAAAGAGACCATTATGTTTTCTTAGTAATCTTTTACTTTTAAGACTAAAAAATTGAGTTACTATTTGAAGAAATTTTCCATGTGTCAGTCTACAAAATGCATATATGTGTGCAATACACACACACACACACATACATCATCTCCTTTATTACTCACAACAAACCTATAAAACAGGTTTTGTGATGATCCCAAACTAAAGAAGCAGTGATGATCCCAAACTAAAGAAAAGCTGAGTAACTAGTTCCATGGATACAAAACTAGTCATCAGTGAAACCCATTGCAACCCAAGATTTTCCCATTACTTTGAGAGGCTCTATTAAAAAGGGGAAGGCACCTGGCTGGTGCAGCTCAGTGGATTGAGCACAGGTCTGTAAACGAAAGGGTCACCAGTTCCATTCCCAGTCAGGGCACATTCCTGGGTTGTGGGCCAGGTCCTCAGTAGGGGGTGTGCGAGAAGCAAACATACAATGATGTTTCTCTCCCTCTCTTTCTCCTTCCCTTCCCCCTCTCTAAAAATAAATAAAATCTTTAAAAACAATAAAATAAAAAGGGGAAGGTATATGTTCTCTCTGTGCTTCAGTTTGTTTATTCAGAAATTCTAAGCTGTTGAATTATATTGGATCACATGGTATAACTTAATTATTTACAAACACTGCAAGTATTTTATTAATTATAATGAGATTTGGAATTTAAAAATTATTTAATGCTTTATAAATGTTAGATTTGTATTTATATCATTCTTAACTTGCTTATACCCCCATATGCTTTCTCAGGTGGAAGACCACTGAAATTGTTCATAATTCTAGGTACTTCTAATTTCAGCAGGCAAATGGTATATATAATATCTATACATATATACACATATATATGTGTAATATAGTATCCTTTAGAAAATAATCCAGTTTCCCAAGATCTGAAGTGCCAACTGGTTCTTTCCTTAGTGTACGTACATATTTGGGTGTTTTCTAGGTTTTGAATGTCATCATTCTATCTGGCTAAATATTATGACACAAGCATCATGCTATTTTAGTGATTGTAACTACACAATGCACTTTAATATCTTTATTAGTAATTCTCTTCATATATATGTAGAATTTGCATAGCAATTCTTTAATGTTTATTTTTCCATATAACTCTTGGCATTTTTTGTCAGTTTGCCCACAAATATGGTTGAAGTTCACATTGAACTGTGTTAAATTCATATTTCACTCTGAGGGCCACTGGCATTTTCACAACATTTGAGTTCTGTCTTCAAAGACAATTTGCCTTGAAAGTTTCTCAGGAACATTATATGTAAAATACTTCATGTAATTCTGACACATTTTGAAGGTTTATTCTGAAGTATTTTCTATTTTTTTGCTACTAATATGTATAATGTTTACTTTAGGTTCTAATTATTATTACTTTTTATGTTACTGGATTATCTTAAACAGCTATCTTAGTGACTCACCCAATATGTTTAGAGTTGATACTATATTTTCAGCCAGGTCAAGAATTTTATCACATAAAATAATGAAAATGTGATATATACTAACCACATATTATACTTTCATATATTTTCTTGTCTCATAGCATTTATTAGGATTTTCAGAAAAATATAAACTATAAATAACCTTTGCCTCATTATTTTTTGAATGCATTTTTGCTATTAATCAGATAGATTTTCTTCATCATGGTGATACATAATTTTGTTCATAGTGTCCTTATAACATGCCTAAATAGTTCAGTAATGGCTACTGAAGTTTTACCAACTAATTTTTGCCATCTATCACAATAATAGTTGTTTTCTTCCCTCAGTTTCTTGATGTGATGGATTATGTCATTTTGTTCTGTACAACTGAGACACTCCTACATTTTGGTGAGGAAATAACCCCATATAGTTGTAAGAAAGAGTTATTATATTAATAAAATGATGCTTTATAAATAATTTATTCAGTTTTTGCACTTATATTCATAAATGACAGCAGTGTGTGTGTATCCATTACCAGTTCTCATTATCAAAATTATGCATTCTTGGTAAAACAAATTGAAGATTTAATATTTTCCCTCTGTCTTCAGTTTGTATAGTATAGAAATATTCTCCCCTAAGGTTAAAATTAATTTACATGATATCATCTAGGACAAATTTATCTGTGGTGATTCTTGGATAATTCAATTTTTTGTCCTTTTAAGCAGTAGTTTTCATTACATTTAATTTTTTAATTTTTGGTTTTCCTTGGTCATTTCCACTATCACTTGTGTAGCAAAGTAATTCAGGGTAAAAGGTGAAATTTCCTTGCCATCTTGTATGATAATTCCACAGGAAAAATGCTGACCCCACTTGCCCTCTGCTTGTGCTTTAAAGGAATGCTCCCAGCCGTGCTGCGAGGCCACTGACTGCAAGTTCAAGCCCAGTGCCGATTGTGCACAGTGGACTCTGAACCACACAACGTGAGCCCTTTCTTTTTTTTCTTTGTTCTCAGATGTCTTCTCACTTTGATTTCATGTTTGAGAATGGTGTGACTTTGGGCTCTAGAATACAATAAAACATAATTTATTTTATATTTTAAAAATATAAAACATCACTCAGTTTCAGAAAGAAAAAAACATCATTATAAACAAAACTAACTCAGGGTTGTGTGTATACTAACACACTGATTAGAAAATGGCTACTTTGTCATCTGTGACTGGAACTGCTGAAACAAGTGCTCAAAATTGTATATATTTTTGTTAGGTAGTGATGAGTTTAATGTTAGCTAAGAGAAGAGAAGTTCATTTTTTAAAAGCCTTGATTGATGCTTAAATTTTATTCTAGGTTAAGAGCTGATAGTTGTCATTTGCAAGGTAGTCAGGAAATCAATAACATTTAAAAATATATTATAAGATGTAATGCTTTTATTTTTTTAATTTTCTGTTTTATTGAAGTATATCTGATGTACAACATCACGTGAGCTTCAGGCATATGACACTGTGACTCAGCATTTACATACTCTGCAACGTGGTCACACAACAGGGCTGGTCTGTCATTCGACAAAGTTATTATTGCATTATTGACCCTAGTCCCTGCGCTACACATTCTCTCCTGTGATGTATTTATTTTACAACTGGTATTTACTTTATAAAAGGTTATGAAATAACCAACCAAACAAAACAAAATGGAAACAGACTCATGGATAAAAACTGATGGTTGCCCAAGAGGAGGAGGATGGGAAATGGATGAAAAAGATGTTATTCTTTTCAAAGTGTGTCAAGAAACTATAATCCATGTATCCTTGTTGTGTTTTATGCAAAACTATATGAGTTGGGTGAGGGAACCCAGTAGCTCTAAATATAGTAATTTTGTCAGTGAAAAAAATAGTCTCTGAATCTAAAAGTGGTAATAACAACTACAAAAAGGCATAAATAAGGGGAAGAGTCTGAATAAGTTATATGAAAGAAGTTATCCATGCTAATCTTTCATGGATCTTTTCTGGAACTGGAACCAGAGAGATTATAAGACTAATGGACTCAGTCCCCATCGATGGTCACTTTCTCAGGGAAGGACCGGCAAGGTAGTAGATGAGGAACAGCATCTCTGCGCACGAGGGGCCACCTACCATGCACTGCTGAAACCCTCCTGTGAGCCACTCTGCAGGGAATCCTGAAAATTGTGTCCACCTTCTAATCATGTTAGACAATGGAGCATAGCACCTCTAAAAATGTCCATTCAATGCTTTTGGGGCTTGGGACAGGAGGTGGTCATGTCCCATGACTGGACCAGATGGGCAATTTAGTAACAGGGAAAGAAAATTGAATTTGGACTCAGAAAATGTCAATTCTTTTCTCAGTTCTGCCCAAAATGAGCTGTGGGATGTTAAGCCAAGCAATGTAATTAGTTTTTCTCATCTGGAAAGTAGAGTGAATGATCTTGTCTCTCAGTAGGGTTGTTAGTATCATTTAAACTCTATAAATGCTCATTATCATGATTGTATAATATTTTAACATTTATACTAACCATGGCTTCCAAATTGTTTCTCTTTTAATCAGCAAGTGAATCAAAAAATCAACTTTATTGAAGATGCTTCTTGCCTTCTTGCTGGGATAGGAATCTAGAAATCTGAACATACCAGGAGTCTTGTGTATTATCACTTTGCATATATTGCATATATCACTTTGATATATTTTGCTTTTTATTTGTCATTATCCTTTCTGTATTTTTTTCCAGTCTAGCTCACTGGTGAATAGATGTACTTAAAGAAGCTGCCTCTTTTCTAAGACCTGTTCTTTGATGTGTTTTTAAGGATCATAAAGCTGCTTTTAGCTGTGTTCTTTGAAAAACTAAGAAATTAGCTCTCGACCAAAACACCTTGAATGCACCACTGAATCATTCAGAGTCAATCCAGAACTGTAAAAGTACAGGTGGCTTGTATTTTAATTCCACTTTCATCTTCTTGGTTACAGCCCATGAGAAAAACAACGTCATGACTTGAGGACTAAAACCTTTCACTCTTGTGTTGTCTATTCCTCCTCTGCCTTCCACTGGCCTTGCTCTTCCCAGTGTGCTATTTTCCTGTGTCATGTCAAGATTCATTAAATATAAACATCTTTATTCTATCATGCACAATCCTCTCACCATCACAGATAATATTAATTCTGAGACGTCTACTTTGCTTACATTTTAATTCAGCTATCAAGGAATGCTTTATTCATCTATTGACTTAATGAGCCATAATCAATGAATAAAAACACAACTTTTTTGAGGCTTTTCTGTGTGGTCATTTTGTAACACAAATAGGTTCAGGCTTTGTTGCAGTTCTATGCTGGGTGTTAAAGCCTCACATTATTAGACAAGTGTCCCTTTGGTCATATGACAGTATTGCCACAGAGAGCTAGGCATTGCTGTATGTCCTGTTGTCCTTTCATGCTCCAAATGAAATGACCTGAGGCCCGTCACCCAAGAGGACTAGACTACTCTGAGGTTTCTTTCTGTACATACTTTTAAATAATTACTCAAAAAAATTATTGAAATTTCCACTGATGCCTATGCTTGGAGACCAGGAGCACAGACAAACCTCTAAAGCTTAGGCTTTGAAAGGGACAGCCTTTCAGAAAGGCTGCTCCCTGTCTCTTCATTGTCTTGCTGTTATTGGTGTCATAGCTGAAGCCAGGCCACAGCCCCAGGGCACAGCTCACAGCCTCTGCTCCCTAGTCAACCAATTCTTCCAAGGAAATGGAAGTTTCTCTAAGCACATTTTCCCCCTTGTACCTCAAGATCAGGTAGAGGCTTCTTGTAGTGAAACTGCTGAGTGGCCGGGACCATAGCCAACAGCGTGCTGCAGACAGCTGGCACAGGCTTGTTCGTGCCCCTTGCTAAATTCTCAGGAACGTCATGAACTGGTTGTCAAACATGGCCATTACTGAAAACCAACATGCAGGAATGTGTGATTAAATACATCATATTAAAACCTGTATTAGTCACATTTATTCAGAGAAACAGAAAATGTGTATTTATTCATTTATACGATACATGGGAGAGTGATTGACTATGAGAAATCAGCTCATGTGATGACGAAGACTGAGGATTCCCACAACCTGACAGCTGCAAACTCAGGCCCAGGAGAGCCGAAGGTGCAATTCAGTCCAAAGGCAGGAGAGGAGGTGAGGTGTTGGAGCTCAAGCAGCAGGCTGGAAGGGAGGAGGAGTGAATTCCCTTCTCCTCTGTCTTTTGCTCTCCTTAGGCCCCAGCCTTCTCTGTGGCCGTGAGTGAGAGTGCCACAGGGCAGAGTGGGAGGCGAGGTGAGTGGTGGGTGGCAGGGGAGTGCAGGACCTAGAAATGAGGAAGGACGGTTACCTAGTAGACACTGTACTAAGTCCTTGCCATGTATTGTCTTCTCTAATTTCCATCACAATCACTTCAGATTGGTCATGTTTCAGTTTTGCAGATGATAATGTTAACATTCAGGAAGAGCGAACCAGTGTCACACAGCAAACAAATGGATGACCGGACCCTGCCCCAGACATGACACTCTCTTTCTAGGAAAGTACACTGATGTTTCAGTATTTGAGAAGTATATTTAATCATCATGTATTTTAGAAACTAATAAGAAAAACTAACAGCTAAAAATCATAATAAGAAAATTAAATAGTTGTAAGACCAAATTATCCTTTTAGAGTTTTGTACAAATTAAGAAAGATGAAATAGCAGCATGTGAAATATTTCAATGCAGACAATGGTGACGAGTTAAACTTTCTTCCCCGTGAAGAAGCAACCAAGGAAACAGATATGAAAGGGAGATCATATACAAGCAGCTTGAAAGGCTTTAAAATAGTTTTCTTTTTCCTAGAAATCAGGGAAGAAAAGTAGGTTACAGTTCATGTTTCTTCCAACCTTCTTGCTCCCGGGGGGCAGAGAACTGGCATGAAGGGAGCAGGAGTGGGTGGCCCCGAGGCTGCTCCCAGCAGCCCCCTCCATGGCAGAAGGCGCCCAGCCTGTGATTACACATAAGCCAGTTCCAGGACTCTCTGGAAGCTTTTATATCATAATAAACAACAAAGAGAAAATAGACTTGACCTGCTCTTAATGTTCTATCATAATTTTTTAAAATGTGGTTCCTTTCTTAGTCTAGAAAAAAACTGAAGAATCTGTATGTTTAATAACTAGACCAGATGAAGAACTGATCTAATCAAACCTTTGATGTCACTGAAGGTAAGGGACATGATCCGTGATGTGTGTGTGCACATGGTACGTGCATGCACATTGTGTGAGCACGTGTGTGCCTATACACTTGCTCAGGGAATTCCATTCAAACACAGAAGCACTCACACAAAGGAATTTGGGGAACAGGCTGTCCTCGGAGGTTACAGTGAGTAGAGATGCTAGGTGTGATGGAAGCAGAGTTCAACCAGCCAGGAAAAGAATGGAAGAGCCACAGGGTCCAGATGTGACTGTGAAGATTTTACGGATCAAAATGATTTTCTGTGGATGGCGGTGAATGAAGAGGCTCTGAAGTACAGCAGAGGGAGAATGAAGAGTGTTGGCTGATTCCAAGTGGCACTAAGTGGTTGAGGATCAAAGAGTCAGCAACAAGAGGCCTTTGTAAGGGAAGTTGTAGAGTGTATTTTGGGGAGAGAAAGTGCAGGCCAGGACTGTGACCATAAGGAGCCTACGTTTGTAAGGAAGCATTTGTATGGAAAATGTGGTTTAGAAGATAGTATTCAAGGTTTGAGATTAAGGCAGTTAAAACCAAATGAGAGTTACCTATGAAAGGGCATGTTGGAGACGGTTTTACTGGCTGCAGAGACCCCAGAATAAATCACAAAAAAGTGTGGATGCAATACTGCATTTTAAGGGAGGTATTCTCAAGTAGGCATTCTGGAATCTTATGCAGAAGACACCTCTGAATTAGATTTTCTTCTGGGAACTTCCTTTAGAACGAAGGTTTGAGGGTACAAGGGTGGCCACAGGTCCAGCATCTTAACAACTAGCACATAGCTTGGCACTAACCAAGCACTGGGAAGGAAGAAAGGAAGGGAGGGAGGGAGGGGGGGAAGGAGGGAGGGAAAGAAAGAAAGAAAGTAAGACAGAAACAGAGACACGGTGAAAAGGAGCGAAAACAAGTGATGTGAGAATGGGAAAAGAGAGTTGCACGCAATGTTTAGGGAAAGCTATGGTCTGGAAAGAAACAAACTCCTCTGAACAGCACTTATAAGTTCTTCGGACTCTGAAATAATCTATAGGAAAAAGAAAGAAAGGTGAAAAAAAACCATGATTATTGAGCTTTACTGGAAGTGGGGCAGAGTTCTCAACGAACTCAAGTGAAAATGGGAGAGCAGGTTGTGTGATGCCGTTCCTCTTGGCCTGAATCTGTATTTTGTTTTAGGGAGAGACCTTCTGCTGACAGAGGCCGCACCCAACAGTGAGAACAAAGGGCAATAAAAACATGTTTGCGTTAATAAATGTAACGTGTAGTTTTGACGATTTGTAAAGAAGTGTAATGATCCATGAAAATGAACTAGTTTAGACTTGTGCTAAAGAGTGCATTCGCATCTGCGAGGGCCGCAGTTATCCCACGATGCTATAATCTTGTCCCTTCTTCTTCCCACCTTTCATTCCAGAAAGCATGTTCTCAGTCCTTGTATTCTCTCTGTGGCTGTTCCAAGTTAGAAGTTCAACTATCACCTTGACTCAGTTGGGCCCAGCTGAACTAGCCTGGGCTTGGGTGGACCTCTTTTCTAAGCTGACCTTCAGGATTCTGAGGACTCCAGTGGACATCTCAACCTGCCAGCCTGGCTTTCATCTTGAATGCAGCATCTGACACTGCATTCTACTGCTGTTTCCCTCAAAGAGCCCCCTTCACCAACATATGTTTCAGGGAGCCTTGAACCATCAAGATCAGTCCTTGCATTGCCTTTCTTGTGATCACACACATAGTCAACAAATTCCAAGAGAGAAATGGAGGCAGACAGAGGGTCAGAAAAAGCTCACCAGAGAAAAGGAGGTAAGAGAATGGAGAAAAAGTTGGGAGGAACTAAAAGAAATCTTCTTTCCTCAATAGAAGAATCAGAAAAGATTCTTCCAAGACTGGTACCATTCTGTTTCAGGGGACTATAAAATCATTCTAAATTTCGACCATTAAATATCAAAATATTTCACAAACTATTAGGGACTGACAGTTTTTCAGCTTTGTTCATCCCCCAGACCACCACCTTTTCATTTCTGAAATCATATTAACTTGGATTTTGGTATCTTCACAGACAAGTGACAGTAATCAACAAAAGATAAACTCAAAGAGGAAGCAAGTCCCTCCCTCCCACCTTGGGGAAAAGAAGTGATGTTTTCTCAGCTCCAACATTCATGGGATGTAAGAAAGCAGTGAGAAATTCAGATGAAGGGTAGGTAATGAGTTTTCTGTAGGCAGATGAAAAGAAGCGGAGAGGGAGAATCAAGGTTTAAAAGGTCAGTACTGTTGAGCCAGGCAGTCAGATCACCTTTATAGAGATTACTTGTAAGTAACTGAATCTATTACATTGAAAAAAATCCACAACTCTTCAAGTATTCCGAAGGGATCCCCAGCCTGAGTCCTGTGCCCTGGACTGGGCTCGCTCTGCCTGCGGACCTGCCACGCCAGGTCCACATGCGCTCACCCCTCAGCTCTTACAAAAAGATCTTACATAACGAAAAATAAAAGCATCTGTCTTGGGTTCCTTTGGCAGAGCCAAGTACAGTGTTTTTCCCAGAAACTAACTTTACTGAATACTTAATACCAGCGAGAGATAAACAGCAGTGTCAGACACAAACGTAAACAGTCCTCTTCCTAAAATGCAGCAATCTGCTGTTTGCAGAAACTCTGGCCCTAAGGACTGGGACATCTTTCTGTACCTTGGCCTCTTCCCTTCCTTTATTTCAATTTTTCCATTTTATTCCATTTTACTGGCTATCAACTTCTCCTCTTCAATTTTGATCCCCGTTCATCCCTATAAATCCCATCTCTAAACTATCTGCTGGCCCCTCCTGCTAAGTTCCCAGAAATGACACTTACTTCCCCGCCGCAGGCTGTCTCCCCGGTCTGAACACCTGTGACTAGGAGCTGAGTGTGCTGGTGACGGTGGCAGGGAACAGAACACAGATTTCTCAGCCCAGCCAGCCCGGTACCACAGACCAGGGTGCACGGGGTGCCCCAAAGCCTGACTGAGCTGGAGACTCCCCCTGGAGCAAGCGCTTCTTGCCTCTCTCCGTTTCTGTGTCTCTGTATACTTTTCCCCA